TAGTATCGGCTAATTTGAGTTAAAAAAAAATTCAATATTGGAAATCAATGATTTTTTTCATTCAAAACTGCTTCAATATAAAAATCAGAAGATGTAGTATGAATGTCAATGACATAACTCCCTTTCAAGACACAATGTGGTACAATTAAGCAAAATTTTACAGGTTACATTTTTTTCTTTCAATACAAGCCATCTCAGTGATCAGTAGGCTATACAGTGCCCCCAAATGACTAGTATAAAACTATCCAGCACGAGAGAAAAAGGATAGGTCAATATAAGAAAGCTACAAGGCAACTTCAGTTCCATTTCAATATTTAGATTATTCTAATGGATTTGTCAAATGTCAGAGGGAATATCTGTTTTAAATGTGGTAGGAATACCAATGAGACAACTCTCCATCAAGACACAGTGTAGTCAAAGTAAGCAATTATAGGTTATAATACAGCCTTCAACACAAAGGCTTGGCTCACATTGAACTGAATCCTACTAGGGGCCCCAAGACACTGTTATAAAACAATTCAAACAGGAAAAATCAAATCTAATTTAACTTCAAACCAGAAACAAAAAGCAAATATGAACTGCACCAAAAAAAAATCCACTAAACAACATGCTTCTGACTTGGGACATGTGCTCATGAATACACCTGTTTTAAAAGAATTTACATACATACCATAAGATAGTAGTGTAATTTTACCATGTAAATGACACCCTTTAAAAGTTAATGAAAAAACGTGTTCAAATAAAAAAAGGAACACCTTACAACAGTTTATAAATGTGGCCTTTAAACAAACTAATGTTTAGAAATGGGTATTCAGTGATAATTTCAGGTTTGATTATGTTAGTTGTTTTGTTGTTTTCAATTTAGTTTCTTTATTTATAAGTACAAGGTGTAAGCTGTTTTGTCTAGGCTGTAAATAGCTTTCTTAATGAATTGGTTTTGGTCATCAAGGTGAAGAGAATACAGTGCAATTCAAATTATATATATTTACAATTAAACTTGCATGCCTTTTTTCATGACCCACAATTTAAAATATAAGAAAACATCAAAATAAAAAGGGACATTCAAAAAATATCTTCAAATCGAGTTAAAGGTTTTAAAAAGTTTTTGTTTTTAACAAAAGAGGTTTGTCATCTAAAACTTTTAAGATCACAAAGCACACAACTTAAAGTTGCCAATGCTTACTACCCTAAGCATCACAAAAACCTTGCAGAGCAGGTGTAAGGATCTTAATAATGAACAATATCAAGCCATTGTTCAAATAACCATGAACATTTCTCAAATTCCAATAAAAACAGCTATTAAGTTTCACGTATTGCATTTCTTTTTTTAAGCACAAATAATCATTAATTGATTAAATTTCTTCACATTTTTATTTGAACATAAGCCTAGAAACTAACCCTTATCTAAAAAAAACAATTATCTAATATTTAATGCCAAACAAGCATTTGGGTTTACGATTGCATTTCTTTTTTTAAAGAAAGCAACTTGTTTTGTTGATTGGAGTAGTTGTGTAATAGGTAACACGTGCCTTCATTATTTCATAAAAATAATAAATGTCTATTTAAGTTCGTTTTCAAATCTACCAAAATTTACCACTAAGATAAACAGCGTGCAACGAATATACATTCGTCCTGTGTGCATATACGATGACTATAAATAGTCCTGAGTGCAAAAATAGCAATAACACTAAGATAAACAGCGTACAACGAATATACATTAAAGATACCGATGGAAGTCACAGTAGACGATGAGACAACTAGTACAGAGACAAACACTGTTTTAAATAAATGGAAAAACTGTTTTGATAACTTATTAAATTGTAATAATCAGACCATTGACACTACTGTTAATTTTAATATCTGAGTCTCTGATGATTTTTTTAGACAGTAAAATATTGTTGGAAGAAGAAGTAAATTCTGTTGCTAAAAGTAAAAATTTTAAGTCACCAGGTATTGATCAGTTGTCAGTAGAGTTATTTAGAAATAATGCATTGATGTTAATTTTGCATGAGTAATTTGATACAGAAGAAGAAGAAGATGCTTTATTTCCATCAAATGGGCTCACAAGGAGCATAATATAATATCATTATAATATTATTTTTACAAATATAATAAACAATACAGTATACATAGTTACAAACACAAATAAGAAACAACAGTTTTCACATATTTGTATATATATAGGAGTATATATAAAACCTTTGTCTCAGGCACACCTCTAGAAAGTAACAAAAAAGAATTCTGTGAGTAGGCTAAATATATCTAGCTTAACTGCAGGAGACACCAAGGGACGGTGCTATATGGCATGGTGGGTGCATATTAAAATGTGTATCGGGACATTACATGTTTCAAGTATGGAAATATTCCTTCTATATGGGGTAAAAGTATTTCTGTTAGTTTTAAAATACGCTATGTTTTATATATGTATTCGAATGTTTTACGTTATAAAAGTGGTGAGACTTTAATAAAATATTGAATTTGAATCTATAACGGACAATTTGAGTACTTACAAAAACAAGGAACTTTTAATTAGTACACGAAAAAGCAATAACTTCCTGAATTATATCTGTTTGATAGATGATACTATTCGATGCATTATTGGACTTTAGAAACGTTATACTGAAGGAAATTATATTTTTTTAAGTTGATTACGACTTATATATGTTGAATACCAAACTTTGGTTTACAGTAATTATCGAAACCATTCAATTTGCCACTGGACGTTAAGCAACCAACAATCAATCGAAACCATTCTGAATATGCTGAGGTCAATTTGTGCTTGTTCAATTGATCTTTAGTTTTATATCTTTAATAATTTTTACTCATATTAGACTATAATCCTCCAATATAGAAATGTAAACTGTAAGACAAATAAGAAAGCAACGCGTTTGCACGAAAGTCTTTTACAGTTAGCAAGTAAGTTACCAACCAAAGTTATTCAAATCATATGAAAAAAAATATTATAATCAAATAAATTGTTCACATTAACAATTTCAGGAATATCAAGATAAAATGAAGTAGTTAAGTTAACATTAAAATGTAACCTCGAACATTTATGGAGGAAAACTATAGACACATTTTCAAGATCTGCCCTAATATCATGTGCACTACCATAAATCTATCACGTGGTGCCGCAGCCAAACATCGTAAAACAAAGTTATAAAGTCCCGATTCATTATTTTTCTTCATTAACCAACTGTCCTGAATGGGAAGAACTCGTCACAAAACATTGGACTCAAATTTGGATTTCTAGAAAGATCTACTACAGTGAACTACACTTCAATGTCATATTTTCATAATTTATGGAAATAAACCCAATAGTACCAGAGTTAATTCTATTTGTGGAGCGCATAACATTGAAAAGTGCATAAATTCCTATGATTCATACATCATTGATATATTCTATTGCAATCTACTTTTAATGAAAATGAAAGAAAAAATGAATATGATAATTCTTAAAATGAACATAGATAAACCTTTAAAATAAACATAGATAAACCTTAAAATGAACATAGATAAATCTTTAAAATAAACATAGATAAACCTTTAAAATGAACATAGATAAACCTTAAAATGAACATAGATAAACCTTTAAAATAAACATAGATAAACCTTTAAAATGAACATAGATAAACCTTAAAATGAACATAGATAAACCTTTAAAATAAACATAGATAAACATTTAAATGGACATTGATAAACCTTTAAAATGAACATAGATAAACCTTAAAAATGAACATAGATAAACCTTTAAAATGAACATAGATAAACCTTTAAAATAAACATAGATAAACCTTTAAAATGAACATAGATAAACCTTAAAATGAACATAGATAAACCTTTAAAATGAACATAGATAAACATTTAAATGGACATAGATAAACCTTTAAAATGAACATAGATAAACCTTTAAAATGAACATAGATAAACATTTAAATGGACATAGATAAACCTTTAAAATGAACAAAGATAAACTCTTAAAATGAACATAGATAAACCTTAAAATCAACATAGATAAACATTTAAAATCAACATAAATAAACCTTTAAAATGGACATAGATAAACCTTTAAAATGGACATAGATAAACCTTTAAAATGAACATAGATAAATCTTTAAAATGAACATAGATAAATCTTTAAAATGAACATAGATAAACCTTTAAAATAAACATAGATAAATCTTTAAAATGAACATGTATAAACCTTAAAATGAACATAGATAAACCTTTAAAATAAACATAGATAAATATTTAAATGGACATAGATAAACCTTTAAAATTAACATAGATAAACCTTTAAAATGAACATAGATAAACCTTTAAAATGAACATAGATAAACATTTAAATGGACATAGATAAACCTTTAAAATGAACAAAGATAAACCTTTAAAATGAACATAGATAAACCTTAAAATGAACATGTATACACATTAAAATGAACATAGATGAACCTTAAAATAAACATAGGTAAACCTTTAAAATCAACATAAATAAACTTTTAAAATGAACATAGATAAATCTTTAAAATGAACATAGATAAATCTTTAAAATGAACATAGATAAACCTTTAAAATCAACATAGATAAACCTTTAAAATCAACATAAATAAACCTTTCAAATCAACATAAATAAACCTTTAAAATGAACATAGATAAACCTTTAAAATAAACATAAATAAACCTTTAAAATGGACATAGATAAACCTTTAAAATGAACATAGATAAATCTTTAAAATGAACATAGATAAACCTTTAAAATATACATAGGTAAATCTTTAAAATGAACATGTATAAACATTGAAATGAACATAGATGAACCTTAAAATAAACATAGATAAACCTTTAAAATCAACATAAATAAACCTTTAAAATGAACATAGATAAACTTTTAAAATGAACATGTATAAACATTAAAATGAACATAGATAAACCTTAAAATAAACATAGATAAACCTTTAAAATGAACATAGATAAACCTTTAAAATGAACATAAATAAACATTAAAATGAACATAGATAAACCTATAAAATGAACATAGATAAACATTTAAATGGACATAGATAAACCTGAGAATGAACATAGATAAATCTTTAAAATGAACATAGATAAACCTTTATAATGAACATAGATAAATCTTTAAAATGAACATAGATGAATATTTGGCAATTTATACCGTGCAGTTCTAGCTATCTATACCGTGTAGCTATAGCAATCTAAACCGTGTAGCTTTTGCAATATCTTTAAAAACGGCCATCAAGGGAATCATCATTGTCTTAACTTGGTAAGTAAAAAGTCAATTTTGAATGAAATTGGTGTGTTCAACCATGGTTTACAGTGCACTCACGTTAAAACCCTGTAATAAGCATTTCATCGAATGTAGAAATCATAGTTATTTTAGGATAAAATGGAAGTATCTTTTGTAACCTTTGTTTGCGGTTCCGATTTAGATGAGGTTTTTTTGTGACTTTGAATTACGTTTTTGACTTGCCTGTTGCACATAGAAACGATTGTTAGAAAGAAACCTTGGAGCCCGTTATATACGCTATTTATATACGACAAAACAATGGAATCTACGTTGGACGAAATAATACCAACTATCCATGACAATCCAAGAATGAAGAATAATTTGAAATAAATGATAAAAGTTACCCTGTTTTTATGGTTAGATGTTGCTAAAGTAGATCCTTGTTTGGATAATTCTACCTTAACCAATATCAAAAAGAAGCAAAGTAGACTGTAGAATAGGGCAACACATACCGGAATAATGTAAAAGTACAAAAGCCCATCCTGTTTAGAAATCCAACATAAACCATTTTTACCATAACCTAGATGTGAATATTGGACGTCTAAAATGGTAGATGTGACTACAACTATAAACGGAACAATGAAAGCAAATAGTGCGTATATCTTGAAACGCCTTCTTTCAGTTTTCTTCTGGTGTATGGTGTAGCGCTTCATGTTAAGCATTCGTTTCGCGATATCAGTTGAAATAACAACAGTCCATGAAAAAACACTTAACCAAAGAAAATGGTGGCAGATTGATGCAACTCTAAGAATCATCTTCTGTAGTGGTACATGTCGACAAACAAGAAATACCGCTTCTGCAAAGAATAAAGACGTCGAAAACATAGTGATATTCTTTCCGTGGAGGTTGCGTAATCCTTTAAGAAATATATAACACGTGATCATAAACAACAAAGATAAAAGGGAGACAATCATGCAAACATCTGATATGCTGTTAATTACACTGTACAGTGATGATTGATTGTAACACACGTATAATGTGTTGTCTTGTACAAAATGTTCTGCTGGTGTTATTTCTCCGTTTATTAACAGTGTCCCATTGACGTATTCAAATTGGCTACTAGAATAAGCAGTAAAAAATGTGCATTTCATCGTTCTTTGGGAAAACGCATCCTCACACACAAACAAAGTTCCGTTTTGTATGAAATGATGTCTCGTTACGTCAACATGTTGTCCCAAAATAGAGTAAGTGCCATTTGAAATACTGAAAAAATGCGCTGAATATTGAAAGAACCGGGAGCAAGGTCTTGACGCACAATATGTTATAAGCGATAATGAACTTTCTAACAGAGTTAGAGAAAACCAAGAATAGAATATATCAATGCTCTCCTTACCAGGAACTAAACCTACCACCGTTTGGTTTGTGTAATCAATCTCCACCGAATGCAATGTAACATGGTATGTGTAATTTGGGCATGGCACAGTGTTTTCGAGATTATCCAAAGACGCGATTGTTAAATAGGAAACATTTAACGTATTCAGTTCTTGTATCAAATGATACAAAACGATTGGATGTGTTACATTAAAGACAAAAATAGACGTTAGCTGAGTTTCGTTCTCTGTCCTGAAAGTATCTACATCCAAAGCAAATATCTTTATAACTCCAACAGCTGCATTAGAAATGTTCTCAAATTTTGCGATTGATATATCGGTAATGTTTGTATCAGTTTGGTTAATTTTCATTATTAGCCGGTATCTTATACTGATATGTATATCCTTCGACCGATGAAGTTCGTTGGGTATACATTGGGATTCATATACTATAAAACCATTTGGACAAGAAATTTGTGTACATGACATCGTGATAAAGTCAAAGTATAAACCTTTTGGGCAAGTTATTTGTATCAGGTTTTTGTCTGAAACTAATCCATATCTATCGTATGCAAAAAAGATATCAAAGCCCGGATAGTCTGGTCGGTGGTCTACGAAACCCACTTTGTCAAGTTCACATTTTGGAATGGGATCTGATGGTAAATTATAATTAGGACAATTAAGACAATGCAGATTCTTGAAACGGTAAAATCCTATCATAATCGGTTCTATGTAAGAAGAACATAAAATACTTTCGACATTTGGTGTTCCTTGGTCGCATGTTGCTAATTTTTCTGGATAAGGCGAAAGGCACTTATTAGGTAACAATTCATGTTGGCTAACATTTTTTATCACGAAGCAACCGTCTAATCCTGATGTACGAACAACGGGACAATGAAGAGTGGCATTCCAAAACTTTATATCTTTGATATTATACCCATGACATAATGCACAAAAAATATTACGGAAGGTTATCTGGTAATTCTCGAAAAATTTTATATAAACTGGAATGTCCCATATATCTCCGAACGGTGTGTTTCTACATCGATTTTTAATGAAATAGTTACGATTATCATCCGGACAGGTACAAATAACTGTAAAAAAATGATACTTTAACTCAACTAACATACATTCTCCATATTGAGCAATCATTTCTGCTAGTTTGATTTGATGTTTGTCGTATCCCAATATTTGGAAAGCAGTGGTTTTATTGTAAATCATATCTGCAAGTATACCTTCTTCAGAGGTGCCAAATAATCGTTCTAACATAACGTAACAACAGTCATCGAATATAAAACAGTGCTCATCACACGAGCATTGCCAATTAGAACAACTTAGTCTGAAAAAGAATCAACTTATTACTTAAATCAAAGGTTGACCTAACGTTAAATATATATATATATACTAGAACACACCTGCGATATCGCGGGTTCGTGACTGAATTAAAGTATCTAATTATGGTTAAGCCTTAATTTTAGTCTGGATTTTAGTATTGGTATTGTCATCTGATAAAGTCATGCTGATTATAAGATGCACGGTTTTCTCTCCTTTCATAATCTTTCTGTTATTTATTGGTAATATTAATTATTTGGAAAACAAAAGGGCCTGGAATGGTGTAATTTTTAATCAACTCCATTGACCTATATTAGTTATATATAAAGTTGAATTCTTTGATTCGCCGTTTTTACGTCATGCCGGCTAAAAAATTGGAAACTGTACCTACGCCTTATTTTAAGTCTGGATTTTTTAGTATTCGTATTGTCATCTTATAAAGTCATGCTGATTAAAATACTACAACCGGAAACAATGAGACAATAATTGAATTTAGTAGTGTCAACCCTGTATAATGACGAAGTTTAGATGTAATTATGACCCGTGTATATAGCAAATCCCAAATACACCCTTTGGTGGTGCGCTAGACAGGTGAGGAACGTACATATTAGGTAATAGGTAACAGGTGACATATACTATTGGTCTCGGTATCAGATTCGACCCGGATCTTGTTAATTTTTAGTAATATTAATTATGTGGAAAACAAAAGGGCCTGGAATGGTGTAATTTTTAATCTGATTCAACACCATTGTTCTATATTAGTTATATTTAAAGTTGAATTCTTTGATTTGTCGTTTTTACCCTACGCCGAATGACAAATTGGACTTCGTTATTTTAGTATTATAGATATATATCTTATTTTTTCGTAAGCTGTTGTATCCTGAATAGGAGGCTCGTATAAGAATTGTTGTACAGTAGTATCCTCCTGTGTATACACATTTCTCATACAAAGCTGAGAATCACTTAAAGGTATTGTATTTACATGTTCGAGGTAACGAAATGGACAGCATTCATTCGGAAACAAATAGAGGAGGAAATACGTCTGTAATTATTAAGACCTCACATTTAGAATAATAAATGTAGTAAAAATCGGAGACAAATCGTATAGTTGTAACCAAAAAAAGTTGAAAAGCCAGAATCACAACAGATGTGGATAGCAAATCCTTTATAAAAACATTGAATGAAAAACAGTCAACCACGGTTTAGACTAGCAAAAAGGGAAATCTCAGCATTTAAAACAAGTAATCACTGTTTAATGTTTTCGTTTTTGGTTTATTGGTGAATGTGATTTATGATGAATACGTTATATTATGCTATCAAAACTATGTTGCAACATTAGTATCAAAAGTCTCTTTTAAATATAGAAATATCATTTATACTATTACCTGTATAATGGGCGCAAATGAAATGTATTATTTCGGGGCAAATAAAATATGGTTTGTGGCTCAAATAAAATGGCATTATGCCAATTGGCACAAACGCAAAGCACTGATTTATTGTTGTCCATGAAACATTTAACATTTTTTTACCACCCTAGCAAATGAAATTTATCGTCGGATTTGTAATTATTATTAACAAGAACAGGGGTGTCAGTAGTGCACGGCGCAGAAACTGTTAGCGTTTCTGGGGCTCATAAGTTCACCCCAGGTTTAAGTGGGGTTCATGTTACTCAATCCTAAAGTTTTTATGTGAATGAAAGGAGAATATAGGTTTTCATACAGTTGTAACAGACATGTATACATCTTTACTATATTGCATGCTCTAAATAATTCTGGGTTTTAAAAGTAATGTATGGATTAAATGGAGACTATTAAAAAATAGCCACACAAAATACACACAAATATGACAAAAGACAACCGCTAACATGGCTTCTGACTAGGGACATTCTCATGTGGAGAGATTGAACTAGTTTTTGAGATCTAAACTTTCAATTTGTCTTACTTGACCAGTTTACCATGTAAAGTCACATAAACAACAAAAGATTAAAGTCAGTAAAGGAAAGGGGTTTAAACGTTATACCTGTACATGCAATTAAAGATAACAATTAAGAAATAGAAAACCAAACAATATTGAATCACTGAATGCAATAATTACTAAGAACTAGCTCAAAGGATACATCCAGTTGATATAAAAACATACCGTCCTACCCTAAAATATCGCTAGCTGTTTTTCATGGTAGATACTATTCCCAAAAAAACGAGCTAAATTCTATCAAGCAAAATCAAAGTGCTTGTATACACTGAAGGGTAAAAATTGCTTTAATTTATCAGTGGGAAGTAAAATTAAATATTGCATTGTATAAAACATTGGTTGTAGTTGATTCAACTACAATTCTGGACAAAGGAAGATAACTCTTATTTTAAAGATGACTTTAACAATGACATCATGGATATTTTTAGAACAGATATTAGATTCCTGCACCTTGCTAAAGTTATGTCATTTTCTTGACAAGTATAACATTGATTTGTGTCTTGCATATTTGAGCATATATTTCATTGATAAGTTTCTGGAAATGTTCTTGGATAGAATGTATAGAATGTTATGATCAATGCACTAGATTTTGTGTATCTCAAAGGTAGTGATAAACCTTGGAAGATTTTGATATCAAGTCATTCCATAGGGTTTGATTGCATTTCATGCAATCTTTACCCAAAAACGTGTCCTTTTTTAGGACTATATATTGTCCGTCTTCTTTGTCTGTCTTATAAACTACGGTATTTAGTTGATAAATTTGTAAACTACCTTTTTATTATACTTAAATACCAACTGATAAAACGAAATTAAGATCTAGAAGTTTTTTTCATATGCAACTTTTGTTATAATCCTTACATTTTACTTGTCCAATGGTTATGGGCTGTTTTTAGCTTGTTCGGCATTGTCTCTTTATTTTACATTTCTGAGTTTGTTTCGTGGTGTTATAATATGTTCGATACTCAAAATATACAACTTTTTGTTAATCTCTGGTTTATCCCTCGGTAATGTTTTAATTAAGGAATGACTGTAATATTTTTTCTGTCTATGAAGAAATAACATCAAAAATGTGGTGCACACTGAATAACCCGCGTAGCGGGTTATTTTAAAGTGTGCACCACATTTTTTATGCATGTTATTTC